CTATTCTTAATGGCACCGAAATCACGAGGAAGATTGTGACATTAACGATAGCTTTCCTACAAAGTTGACATTTCGAATCGATATTTTTAACGATTATAAATTTCATGTTCGCAATTTAAACTGGATATCGTTTTTAATTGATTTAAAAGTTTTTAAGTGCTGATGTACTTAGAATTAATCTTCTCATTAATTTACATTTGTTGAATTAAATATCAATTAAATTTTTATGTAAAACAAATGTATTTGGTATAAAAACACGACTCTGTTTTTGTTGAAGTTTTTATGACATATTATTATTAGAAAGAAATGCAAGATGTACTCTTGTCTACCTAAATCCGCGATGTAATATTCTTTGTTGTATAAATTAAATAAAAATACAATATTTCGTATTTTAATTAATTTGAGTTCAACGACTTTTACAGATAATTTTAAATGTCACAATTCTGTGGTACGCATAACTTTGACATTGACATTTAATTTAATAAAAAAATTCATTATTATTTTTAATCTGGAACCACCTGAAACTGGAATCGATGGTATCTAGAATTTTAGGCATTTATATAAGTATTAAATTATTCAATAATTTTGTGCGATTCTACCTACTTACAATTATTATTCTTAGATTACTAGATATCATGTTTAAATAGTTGTTATAATAAAAGGCAGACAATTTTTTCGAAGTTCTTGCAGTCGTTCAGTATTAAAAAAACATCATTGGTTCAAATTCAAATTCCAAGTTCAATTCGAAATGACTCCAAAAAAAAATCCATTCAGAAGTGTCACCTAGCAGTTCTTTGTCAACCAACAAACATTACACACTCGAATTAAATTTCATCAATGCACATTGCTCATGTATGTACATAGATAATATTAATTTATTTATTTAATGTCACAACTACGATTACGTACGCTGTCATACTAACGCAATGTTATCCCAATTAGACTAAGAACTGGTTAAAGGAAACCACAAAGTAATTACAGATCACATGTACAGTCAGCCGAATTATTTGGTATACAAACAAGAAAGTACTGCCTCCTTGGCCAAGTGGTCACAAGTGCGATTGCCGGGCAAGGGTTCACGGGTTCGATTCCCGGGTCGGGATGAATATTACTGGGTGTTTTAAAAAATCTCAGTAGTAGTGGAGTCTGGAATTGTGTCCAGTATATAGCAATATGCTCAGCACCTATTACATGGGACTCATAACATGAAAAGTGTGTGTTAAATTGTACAGTGGCATTAAGTGCCGTAATGTGCACATTTGCTTACCCCTTCGGGGATAAAAGACGTGATATTTTGTTATGTTATGTAAGAGAATAAAGATTGATAAATCAATGTACTAAGAAACTAAAGTACTGTACTAATGTACAGAGATAGTTGTTATTGTAGTACTATAGCGTATGCTTTATAACGAAACCATATCTTTTGTAACCATTGGCCGGCACAATAACCAACCAATGGTTACTGTCTCTGTATTGAATCTAAAATCATTTTAAATCTTATTTTTTTTACCTGCATACTGCCTAACTTGGTTGACTGTACTTTGGCTGCGATGAAGTACTCGTATGAACTAAATCGATCTATTTCCCGCCTTGCAGCAGTCTCGCCTCAATTTCCGCGGGAAACCTAGATGGATATATCTAGTCTAAAAGTAACGAAATGTACCTATAGACGCTAGACGCTCGCACTTCTAGCTGAACAGTCCGTCAGATTATCATTTCATTTTCCTTAATATAATTTCTTCTTAAATGCTTGTAAAGTTTCGTTATATTATTTTCTGATTAATTTACTTTCCGTATAGGTGTATAGGAGATATTTTTAATCACATGTTTAATTTTTATAAACGTCTCGTCTCTCACTCAGCCATAATTGATCAAAATTAATACAGTTTTTATTCATAATCTTAAAGAATTATTTAAATTAATTTGTCATAAAGGGTAATATTCTCATATAAGTGGGATAAAATATAAATAATTGGTTTGAATATAATAGGCTGTATTGTCAACGGACCGTGTATGGATAATTAAAAGCTAAGCATCATGACGATGTTTGCATAACGCAATGGCTACTATTTACATTAAACCATTAATATATAAACCATTACCATAATTTCCTATTATTTACATGCTCCACTTTCTCTGTACAATGGAGAACTCAAAAACCGTATCGACAGAGCGTTACATTGCATAAGGGACGTTACACACATCCGCGGCCATACTGCCTGACCGTGGAACACACGAAGACACTGTCATCTGATACGGAATTTCATGTTCATTGTTTCTCGACTTTATAGTCTGTTTAACTGACATTTCGTAACATGTCCATATTGTGTGCATACAGCCTAAGTAGCCCATGTTTCGTGATTCAAACTCCAAACACGCAACTGCGCAAACTATTTAACAGATTGATTTAGATATATTGTTGTGACTCAGAATAATTAATGCTGCAAATACTAATTGCATTTGTAATAATCATAAAATTTTAAGATAAACATTTAATTCAATGATAATGACCTAGAACGGGTTTGTGCATATGTGGAGTATAATTGGGTTAATTTTAAACGATCTGAAATGTATCAAAGAGTCCCAAGGACGGTAAAAGTTGCCTGCGACCAGTGTATTTTGACCCAGATATTGAGTTTAATCTGAGGGTAGTAAAAGGATTGCAGAACGAATCGCTTCAAGTAATGCCAGTGATTGTGTCCGAGCTGCCGAGCTGCTGGTGCAAGGTAAACTCTACCGTTAATGGAATTTCTTTGGTTTTTAATCAAGATTATGGTTCTGTATTGTCGCTGAAAGAACTAAACGAAATATTCATATCTTTTGCGGTTGTATTTTCTTTACTATATACAAAAGCTTTCCTTGATTTAAGTTAGTAAACAAAAAAGGAAGAAATTATGAATTTGCGATCTAAATTAATCATTTTCCTACGTAGATTAGAAGATGCTATTACCCACAGAAACAGACCACTACTGTTACGCTGCATGTGACACTTTAGTAACACCACTCTAATTATCACATTTATGCGTACTTCCACTTTAGCGTATATTAACAAGCCTGTTCAAAATATTATTTCAACAACTCACTTACTCAATAATTTTACAATATTGAGTAGGCGCTTGCTGCCTACATGAAAATACAAACATACGTAAACTTACGCTCATGTCCCTTATATGTAAAAAAACAGCGTCCCTAAGTATGTCCTTTATACATACACACACATATTTTACAAATTACGCTTAAAAAACCGATTTAAACTGTCAAACACCGCGAGGAAACCGGTGACCGCGACCTATTGTTCTTTAAACTGTCAAACACCAAGCAGTCACCGGTGACCGCAACCTATTGTTCTATAATTGTGTCTATACTGACGGTACTCAAAGGGTGGAACAACCTCTTTTTTCGAAGTCCATTGATTAATATATATATATGGGTACTAAGTGTAACAAACCATTTCTGAAAGCCGCATCAACATCGGTTCAACCAGTCGCGAGATAAACGAGCACAAACATACACACATTCATATATACATACATACATACCTAAAGGTCAAGTGTGAACCTTCTTTATTGAAGTCGGTTAAAATAACATAAACATAACATCACGCATTTTATCCCCGAAGGGAGGCTGTGGTGCATATTATGTCACTGTACAATGTAACACCTACTTTTCACTATTCTCGTCATGAGTCCCATGTAATAGGGGATGAACCTATTGCCATATACCGGGCACTATTCCAGACTCCGTGCTAGTAATGAGATTTTTTTTTAAACCCAGTAATACTTTGCCTTACCTGGAAATCGAGACCCCTTGCCCAACAGTCGCACTTGTTACCACTCGGCCCAACGAGGCAGTCGGTTAAAATACCTAAAAAAAAAATAACAAAACAGTTGAATAACACACGTGGTATAACAATTTAAGTAATAAGACGTCCAACTCCGTCGCTTCGAGCCCCCTAAAGTGCGCAGGCGACTTTCTCTGCCAACTTTAACAAACCGGAATTCATTCACGCATCATTTAGAAGCGATGGTTCATATTTTCGCGTCCGGTCTCTCAATTATGATATAATTTGTAATTAAAACTTAAGATGGGACATTCATAGCTATGAGTAATAGTAGACTCGAATGAATAGTCTAACATAACGTGTTACGGTTGTTATTAACAAACATTTCTTTTTTTATTTGGATATAGAATAGAATTCGAGGTGTGAATAGATACAGAAGAGGGGTGAAAAAATGTTGGGAAAATATTATATAACACTTATCCACCCCATTCCTGTATTTATTCACCCCTCGAATTCTATTCACCCCGTTTTAGAGTACATGAAATGTTGAAAATAAAATTAACACTTATACTTACGAATCCTAAAAGAAATTTAAACTATAAACAGTAATATGCTATGCAGTTAATAATAAACTTTAAGAACCTTATTTAAGCAATACCATCTGCACATCAATACACTTCCGAACAATATAAACAAAATCTCGAGCAAGTGCAGGTAGGTATATTTTTATCGATATAATTATTGTATGAGATAACACAGCGCTTGTCTCGAGCATGTCTGACTGCTTTCTCTTGTCTCACGTCATTCAAGCCGTCAATCTCCCCAACATGATCTAATCTCAGTTCCAAAATGTGTGAACATGTCTATCCTGTGCGTCAATTAGTAAAAACACCTGACTTAATTACATGCCAGGAATTTGTTAGGAGAAAGAGTTGATTTACCTGTAGTTTGTGTTGTACCTATACGTTTCACCTTTAGTCGACATACTCTAAATATTACACTTGTTGATCACTGACCTCTATCTCTTTTAAACTAAGTTGTATACTAATTAATAACTACGCAAAAGCGGAAAATTCATCTCATGGTTAAGGAACCAAAATTCTAAGATTATTGTACAGTCAAACCACATCAATCAAATGCAAAAATTTATTTAAAATTGACATACAACAATACTCCAGTTAGACATGAAATTGAAAAGAGAAGCTGTTTCCACCACAACAATACATAGAAAGGACATTAACCGTCATTATTTTCCATGAACGCTTTCACTTGTTCCTGGTACATTCGATGCTTTTCCTCCAAAGACTTCAAGGCGTTTGACTGACGTACACCTCCAACGTTGACCATGAAACTTATTTGGACTGGCGCAACGTCTGACGCAGTCTCAGTATTGATGCCCATGTTCCTGGAGCTAGATTTTGTCGCTTGTTTACCTTTACCCTCATTCTGCGTCTTTTTATCGGGTTTGGTTTCCACCTTTTGTTTAGTTTCAAGTTTCGGATTCACAATCTCTTTCTTCTTCACAGTTAACTGCTTCTGTTCCTTCTCTGCATTTCTCTCTCTTATTCTCTGGACATCAGCCGATTTGGATTTCAAATATGGATTCTTGCTTAGTTTGTTACCCTTTTCGTTTATAGTTTTGTTAACCAAATAAGTGGGAGGAACCTCTTCTTGTTCTTTCTTCGGTGGTTCCTTTCGTGGCTCCTTGTGTTTGGCAGATGTTTCTCTTTCAATTTTCTTCTCAGGTTGGGTTTGGTACGTTTTTTTATAAATCTTTAATCGATTTTCCATTCTTACTTTCTCAGAATATCTTTGTAAACTCCTTGCTCTTTCAAGCCTCGGCTTAATTTGTTCTAAATCAGGCCCCAAACCTCCCAGCTTTACATTAGGTATGGGCTCTATTGTTGCTCGTCTGACATTACGACGTGGATTTGTGATCTCCGAAACACTCTTTAGATTATCAGGACTATCATCACGTATATCATCTGGTTTACTTACCATATCTTCAGTAAACCGCAGTTCCTCTTCATGGTCTTCAAAAGAATTGTCTATATAGTTCTGCAGATCACGACACAAAAGCTTTTCGTAATACATTTCGTTATAAGACTCAGTATTATAGAACTCTGGTATGGGATTATTAGCGTCATCGCCAATACTTTCCCTTTCCGTATCACCAAATTCTGGTGATAAAGAACGTATTTCATTCTTATCTTTCTTTTTACCAATATGATTGGGTGTGAACTGCTTACGGAACATTTCTAGGTAGGTGGGTCGCTTAAGCCTCGCTTCTCTTTCTTTATTTACCAAATAACTAGTTTGCGACAGTTCATTCTTAAATTTCTCATTCGCTCTATATTTATTACTTGAATTATTTTGTTTTCGTTTTTGATCCTTTGGTACCTTTATGAGCACGTCTTTTTCGTAAAATGGCACGAGTATTGTATCGACATTTTCATCCGTCTTTCTACCTTTTACGAAATTTTTTCGTTTGAATTGAGTTTCCAGGCTATCCAGGGATATATTGCTATCAGTACTTGAGTTTTTATCCATTGCTCTGAATGAAAATTTTAGCTTTTTTCTTTTACTCATAAATAGATACGACGACTTATCCATAACGTCAAAATGGCAATGATTTAGATTTGTTTTTTTTATATTATTCAGCCAGGAAGGTGTATTAAAACCTTATTAAGATGCAAATAAGACACTGACAAAATTAAGAAAACATTGCATTTCAGGGATTCGTGTTTGCGTTATCCGCAAAGCTGAGCTGGAAGAGAACGTTAGCAATAAATAGTAGGATAGTCAAAAGTTGGGACACGTAGTGGTGCTGGCAGCGGGCCAGATTGGAGTAATGCGCAAATTGCTTTACGCCCTCGTCGGCAAGTTGGGAGGCGGCGTGGCGTGTACGTTCACGCGCCCCGCTTGTCCGCCTAATCGTTCAACCTGTCAACGCTATATCTACTAGATTTACTTTGTCAGGATCATTACAATCTATGCTAAAATCAAATACCTACTTGTATGTGAAACAATATTATTGGAAAATTGATTTAACACCTACTTTTATACCAACGAACAATTTGCAGTTTGAAACTCTTAACACGTATATACTTATGTGGTAAAATTTAAAAGAGTATCTACTAATACTATACATATTTAATATTGCTGAAAGTTCTTTTGAAATTTTGCCAAACTTTCCCAGACAATGGGACAGGATTTCGTACTTTTAGAATTTATTTATTGGTGTCTCGGAGACCTATTGACTAAAATATTCCTTGGTCTATTTAATGGTCTTTGTTTTTATTATTTTCGTCTGTGTTTTACGTAGTTTAGTGGTGTAACGTACAATAATTACTGTGTACACAATGGCAGCAGATTCCTGGCTGGCTTCGTGCCAATGTCCGACTGAGATAACGGATTGGGGGCAAGCTACCCGCGACCCGGCCGGATTTCCCCTCTTATTACCCACATAATACCTAGTTTATGCATTTAGGTCCTTTACACTTGCATTTTGGGTGAATATCTATTCAAATTTTCTATGGAGGACTTAACATTTATCATTTCTCAGTTTCAGAGCTTTTTAATGTTTGTTATAAAAAACCTGCCCGATTTTTGGTTTCATCTCTACAATATGACGAATGTGATAAATGAAAAAAGTTAATGTTCTGCTTCTGCTCACTTCAATTCCGATTGTATTTTTTCTTTGGGTTCGTTACCTTTGGGGATTTGTAGGCATGTCGTTACTTTGTCTTGAGTTATTCATCCTTATGACGTTGCTTGTATGCGTTATCATTTAATGCATATTACTATATGCAGAAATCTGTTTTTGATTTTAAAATATCAATTTTAATAATATTTAGGTTAATAATAAAATTATTTGGGAGCTTCCTGCGGTAATCATGACATCATAAGCGGATTATGTCCATAATTTTCGATCCGTGCATAATATTAGCTCAATATTGGACGCACGCAGTTGCATTTACATAAACATAACACCACATCACGCCTTATTCAGGAACCTATTTATATTACGGAGCGTTGCTCATGAAAAGTATTCCCACGTAATGAGATTGAAAAGTACTTTTGAAATTGTGCACAATTATAAATTCCACAATATTCTTTAGGTTTTTATTACCCACTATACGTCATCGTGATTTTGCTCACATGACGTCAGTTCCAACCAAACCAAAAAAATACTTAACGCTTTAAATTACCTATATTATGGTTCAAAATTAAAAAGATTTCTTCAAATTAGTCTAATATCTTATTAACTCGTCGAGTACCGGTTTTGTAGACACAATTATAGAACAATAGGTTGCGGTCACCGGTGACCGCTTGGTGTTTGACAGTTTAATATTATAAATACGAAGGTTAATGTGTATCAAAACGACTAAGGAGATCGGGATAAAATTTGGAACGTGGTACAATACGATCTGGAATAACACGCAGGTTACATAACCTAAATTTAATAACGCGGGCGAAGCCGCTAGTAGAAACTAATTTTCCTCATTTCCTAATATCCTTGTACAAACATATTTCAGGAATTAGACATCTATGACAAGGATTGGCCGCAAAAAGCTTTACATAGAGTGAAGTGGAAGGAGGGTATGACCTTTGCCCTGCAGTGGGACGATAATGGATGAAAATAACATATTTGCAAAAAAAAAATCATTTAAAGTGTCTTTATACGTAACTTAAAAACTGTAATAGGTCTCTAATATTCTCCTGACCTTATAGCATCCAGGAATTTCTAATAACAGTCACTAGATTAACACTAGGGTCAAACCTCATTCAATTATGATGACGACAATATCGATTTGTTATTGCATTAACATTTAAATCGATTTTGAATGAGTTGTATTCATTATCTGTGATGATGATGATGTCCATGGTCATTGTACGTACATCATGGACAGTAAATTCAATGATTGACGTAGAAAAGTTATTCAGGACTATTTCATCATATTTTTGACCCTATAGAGAGTTGTATTTCTGGATAAAGAAATTATGAGTCTTGCTCGAAGCTTAGTATTTGATTTTCGGGGTACTTACATAGTTCTTAATAGAGCAGTTTTCTAAATTCTATTTTAATTTGCGTCTGATTGATTAATTTGAAACATTAGACACGTATTAATTTTCTCACAAAATTAAATACCCTCGACGATAATTATATCTATTAATTCAAAATATCGTCACGACCGTGCCGACATATCCCACTCCTAAAATTAACACCGTTTTATCTAACCATTGTAACTTTATACGAGAAAATATAAAAATATGGGTCTAACATTTTTTAATACCCTGTCAATCTACCCAGGTTAGGTAGGCTTAATTGTCTACTAAAGACAATAACCTACTACCAAGAAGATGCAAGTTACACGTACTTTCTTTTATCTATATTAGATTTGTGATACATATAGTTATTAACTATATAAAAGAAACTGTCCACTTATATCCATATGTCTCATGCCAAAAAAAAAACAAAAGGCATGATGTTATCTAATAGTAATAGAATAATATGTACGTACATACGTTATGTACCTAGTTATGACAATGTTAACTACTTCGTGCATTCAACCGATCAGGTGTTAAGGTCACTAGTAGCATATCACTGTCATACTGAGTACTCTGTCTCTGACTCATAAGCTTAAATATTTCACTAAACAACTAGGTGCATACACAATTTGAACCATATTCACTTGTAATAAGGAATAACAAGATCGGTTGTCAAGTTAGTGGTGACAGCCATACCTATTTATTCACCTATGATAGCATCAACAGCGTTTAAAATTAGAACTGGATAGCTAGTTTTAAGGACTCCACCGAAAGATGGCGTAATTCTAAATAAAGGTGAACGAGTTCTAAGTTTTGTCTATTATCTTTCAAAAAAGGAGCGATCAAGAATTTCCATGTGCCACGCAGTTTTATAGAAAAAACTCGATGACATTTAACAGTTTAGCTTATTTTTTGTAGATAATGTTTTAATGTCTTCTTCGTTTATTTACATTTCCATTAGAAGATTGATAAAATTAGAAGTGGCGAGTTAAAGGTGCGATTACTGGATCCGTACATTAAAAAATTATAGAAATAATAAAATTAAAAAAGTTTAAGCCTGAATTCAATTTTTTGTCATTTTCTAATTTATATCATGTAAATAATTTCTAACCCATTATAATAGGTAGCTACCTAATTAATATTTTGCAAACATAATTTTTAGTTAGATCAGGTGCGTATTTTTCAAGTAGGAACTACTATACGAAGAATCAACAAACGAAACAGATTTAATTTCTGCAAACGGAACCCTGAAGAATATCTAGTGATTTTGTCCACACTGAAGGAAAACACAAATATCTAGTTTTACCATAAAATTAATATAAGTACTTAAAATTAATTGAGAAAATATTATAATTCAGTGGTTTACCTTCAATATTTGCGGCAATTTAGTTTTGCTGTGATGCCTAAATTGTGAATTCCAATCATACTAATATCGAATGTTCTAGAAATCGGAGTCCTTGACATTTATGTGATATTGGTGACGATATATACATTGTGACGTATATTTTAAACATAACGAGGCAAAAAATTAGTTAATATACCAAAGCTGATTCATAGAATCATCACTATACAAACACCAATAATACCATTGTGATCTTTATATTAAATTAAATTATAAATTATATTGTACCAATTTAAATTCATCACTTTTTTAATCAAATTTGAAATTAATTGACACAACTAATTTGCTGTTGATTGAACTATAAAATAATAAATCATAATCAAGATCACATATTTGACAAGCGTAAACTTTAAATAGTTTAATACGTACTTTAATAACTAACACTATGTCAACAAAATGAATAAAAAATCAATTTGAAATAAATCAAATTATTTTTTGTTTGTGGCAATAAAATTACAATTATTCAACTAGTTCAACTGCAATTCGTTAAACATATTCAGTCACGTAATTATTATGTTATTATATGTTGCATAACTAACAGTTTTGAATTTTTATCGAGCTAGGCTCTATTGCTAATACTCTCTAGGTCGATTTTGATTAATAGCCAATAACTGTCCTTGTGGTTTGAAAATGCTTGTGAGTCAAATGTCACATTCTTAGACGAGTATGGCATCGTCCATAAAGGATATAATTAGTTCTATCGTTTATTTGATAGGTAAAGTTCATAAGTTTCAGGTTTAAAACTATTTATAAGTAGGTACTGCACCTAATAACACTTAACATACAAATTTCAAATAAAAGATAATTACCACTTTACAGACAGAATAGAAACAGCTACTAACAAAACAAGAAGGTCCAAATAAAAAAAAAATAACATGACATTGACAGTTCAATAAATTCCCGCGCTTTTCATCATCGTTCGCGCGTACCGTACATATGCATGTGATTACGAATTTGTGACGACTGTAAAGACTCATATTAAAAATGTACCTTACAAAACTACCAAGTACTTAATTCAATTATATTTAGAAAATAATGCCACGACGATTTAACAGAGGCAACATGAGACGAGGCAACATAACATTGAGTTTAGTAAGATAATCTGGCGTTAAGCTCCTTTTGCACAATCGTAAATCTGTTCAGCTATTATACTTGGCCT